AACTCTTATTTAAATGAATTCGGAGCTGTATAATTCAGAATAAAACTAATTAAGTAGAAACAATTATAAACTTTATTTATTAAAATATATGAACATTAAATAAACGTAGCTGAAATACTTAGGCCGGTATTCATAATCGGTTCTTATTTCAAGATCATCTTAAGTAATGTCTTAAGACGCTAATGCAGTCCTCTGATTGGTTCGTGACGCCTCAAGACTGAACTTAAACAGTCTTGAATATAAGAATCAACTATGGATATCGACCTTAGTCTACTTTTTTGTTTAAAATCATATTTTCTGTCCGATTTGGCAGCGGCCATTAATGTAGAATGGTCAATATATGTAGCATGGTATTCCGGCTAAAACCGACTATAGAGTGAAATAAAGATAGATTTGCAACACATTCTACGTTTCAATGTCTAACCAATCACGAGAGAGGTGCTGCATAGCAAGCTCTAGATGTATCAAAGTAGCGCGCGAAGGTCCACTATTTTCGACTAATAACTGTATTATATACTAACAATAAGAACTAAGCGCTTATTGGACACTAGACAGAAAATGACGATAGAAATAGCCAATAGAAAAGTCGGTATTTCGGTTTAGATAAAATTTTTTGCACAATTTTGGTATATCTAGAACTTTAGTGTCGCAGCGATATCAGCACAATTAGCGACATAAAAAAAATGTTTAACCTCGCGAGAAAAATACGTATGGAACTTAAAACTAAATTTTTGTTTAAGAAAAATTTTTATTTAATTAAGAAAAAATTTTTTTTCATAAGACGAATTTAATTTACCGTCATTTTATGGATCGGGTAAAATACATGTATTGGCAACCGGTCGGAGAATGAAAATACCAGCTAGGCCAATTCATTGCCGGTGAATTGGTAACCCTAATCATTGATATCTTATCAAAGCATTGTACGCAAGTCCCACAAGTTACTGCGAAGTCAGTAAAGTCAAAACGATTGTCAGTTTTTCTATATGTCAGTTTGTCGCGCGTGATTCTTTGTGACATCAGTTAAGTGAGATGTGTTCTTATTAATGGCATGTAGTACAAGATTTCTCGTCACGTCTATATCGGAGTTCTGTTATGGGAAAGTTTGTCAAGTGACATCGCTATTGGCCGAGCAAACTTTTTTTGTAACTTTTCGTTGAACGGCGGCGACGTCGATGAATTTTCTCGTCGCTACTAAAATTCCATTGTGTTTTATGAAAAAAAAAACGAGACAGATCTTATTAACAAACACGTATCGTATATCATCTGCACCGCAATTACGGTATTTTGTTCATGATGGGTTTCGTTGGTCAACCAGCTCCTGAGGGATTTTTCTTTAAATGTTTGTATTTAACAACAGTTAGTTTGACGTTATTTTTCATTACACGGCCAATCTCAAGAGTCATTTAAAATAAAAATAGAAGTATAAAATGTTTATTTAACACTCGAGATACTGCCGTGTCTTCTGATATATATTTATTATCCAAATTAAAAAATAATGAGAAACTCTAAGAAAAAAAGATAAAAGACTAATCTTATTCGAAAAATAATCTTTTTCTTCCTAAAAATTGAAAGTTCATTCTTCATTATTCTTGGTTTTATACCAAGTTTTATACCAGTTAGTTCTTCATTACTCTTGGCTTTATACCAAGATTCCTGCGAGACCAAAATTACTTAACATTTTGGAACTCTCACGTACGATGCAATTCAATATTTTCATGTAGCGACAAATTATCTCGGCGTGATAAGGACGGTTATAATATTTGACACTTGTTTAGCGATCCTCGGATACCTCGGTTGGAGTTAAGTCTGCTGTGTAATCTAGACTCCTAGACTCCGGCACCAATTATCCGATGTATCTTGCGAAGCTGGAAGTTGTTATTAAGCGTTGTGTAGTGCACTGTTGTACTAAGCCACGTGTATTTTACGCTGATTCGTTCCCTTTAATGGCCTTCTGTTCGCAACGGATCGGACGGAGATTGGCAGGGATGAAGCTGCGCGAATTGAAGTGCTTCAATCCGGTTGATTAAATCGCCTTTGGTTTGCGAAGGCAACTAAGTTATACAGAGGTAATTTCTACATATCCTGACCTATACATGCTAAAGACGCCTTCGTAAATTTTCTCGAGCAGCTACGTGCAATGCTCAAATATCCTTCAAAAGACGTGACGTCGTTTTATCGCGACATTACGGTTGTGCGGTGTACGAGACATAAAAAAAAATGTGTGTCCCATTTTAAAGCTACGCGACTTAACTTCCAGTTACGTTTCTATGGCTCGTATAAAGCAGCCCACTGCATTCGTTCGTGATTCCTCTTGAGAATTTTCTCGTCAAAAACCTCTAAATCTTTATTACCCGTTATTCCTTTGCCTTAAATTTCAGAGAAATATCACGTTTTCGCGATATCTAAAAAAATTAGCTTGTCTTTATAGATTTATATCTAAATGGATTATTTATTATTCTTGATTGAGAGCATATTACACAAGTATGTTCCGTCAAAAATTTTTAAATGATTTATATGAACATATAAAAATTGAAGTTCGAGATTGAATAATGTAGATTGAATAATAAGGTCGTCTCGAATAAAATCTCTGCGAATTAAATTAGCGGAGGAACTCATCATTACAATTTTCCATGAAACTATCTCTAAAATGTCTTAGGTTACGACGAAATCACGTTAATATGTTGGTATGTACGATGAAGTACGCTATGACATTGGAGTTTGAAGTGCTGCGACCGAAGACCAACACCAACCGACCTTTTACACGAGTCGTTAAAGCTATAAGAAAAGGTGAATCGTTTTCTATTTTATTGAAAGTGTAAATGTCACTGTAACTTGCTGTCGATGCGTTAGGCGATCAAACGGCAATCTATTTACGAGGCGCGGTTTAAACGACAAAGTATATATTGCGTCGCGCATCTCTTCAATATGTCGTATATGATGTAGCAACGCTTTTCCCGCGAACGTTATTTTATTTTTTATCATGAATGGTGAGATGTATATACTGTTCGTTAGTTAATATTCGTTATCCGCGTGTCAGCCGCATGACAGGACTAAAATGTGATGTGCAATAAAAGGGGCATCCGCTTTTTTTAAACTTGATATATTATGTGGTTTTAATTCTAAACTATGGATTTTTGGAAAAAAAACTGTTACTGCGTTATTTTGTTAAAACGTACGTGGAAAATATACATACACATATACATTGTTGCGACTTAGATTTAAGGATGTATTACAAGTATTTTTTTAACAAAATGAAAAACTTATGAAAAAAAATTACAAATTTTTCTGTATTATATTTGAAAGTAATACAAAAAATTTGATGACGATTTAAAATTTGGATCAAAAATTATTTAAATAAGAAGTAGACATGATTTAAAAAAATAATTACGACAAAATGAGAAAATTTTCATTCAAACTATAAAATTGTATCGTTAAATACAAGTCACTTTTAGACAGAGATCTGATACCTTAATCGTGTAACCTACATTTTAAAGGCGATATTGATACGATTTACAATATTGAATGAGACGATTAAAGATAAATATATGGATTTTGCAAATCAGACTTCTCTCGCTTCTCTATGACGCATTGCAATAGTTTTACATCGCACGTCGGGAACATCTGGCGATGGAACATAACCAAAGTTACATACAGTATAATATTTAATGTCAGATATCCCGTAACATTTTGCTTCGGAAAAGCGATTTGCACCGGTCGCTCCTATCACTACCATCGTACGTCCATTTCCTTTTCTCATCGGATCGTGATAAATGGCTAAGTCAGAATTCTCGGCAAAGGAGTCTCGTGAGAAATCTACCTGATGTATTCGGGTTAGAACAAGCCAGCGACGCTGCTTGCACGTTGATCCGATACCACGTGATTCTTTGGCTTTTTAGTTAATGTAACAGCGTAACTAGGATTTTTTAAAATTTATATGTATGTGTAATATTTTTCGCTAATTTCTAACACTTGGTATTAATTCTTGGTACACGGAAAAAAAAGATTAGCTGCCACAGCTAAAAATTAGGTATGGCAGCTAAATTCAGTAGCACTATATGGATACCTAACGTCGTATCTGCGAAGTAATTTCCATTAGCTGTGAGGCCTAAATATTATCATTGTAACAGACAAGCATTTTTGCTATTATGTCGATGTATTGATCATTACAGCAAATGTTTTCTGTGTAACAGACAATTTGGTAGCAAGTACAGTTTTAGCAAACCATATTTAGCTGTGGTAGAAACAATTTTCTTTTACACGAACATATCCAATAACTGTGACAACTAATTTCATATTGCTAAATAAATCGATCTGTAACTGACATGCATATTTTGCTATCACGTCCTTATATTAGCTACAGTAGCAAATCCTTTGTATGTAACAGATTCATAGCTGTAGTAGCTAATGCAATTTCAGCTAATTAGAATTAGCTGTAAACATTTTTTTTTCCGTGTATTAATTTTTAAATGGCATGCACACATTGTGTATTCATATTCACGTCGTTTCTTAAAACTTTATAAATTTCTAGACAATTTTTTAAAATGGTGCATAAAGTGTTTTCTTACGCTAAACTTGTGTTCATAATAAAGAATCGTCTAATACAGAAAAAATTAATTAAAGTACTATATAATAAAGAAATAGAAAAAGAAATTTTTAAAAAGCGACATAGATATGAGTGAAAGATGTTATTTAATAGTTAATATCAAGCAACCTCCGATTTTTTCGCATTTCTCAACAAACAGCTTAATAAAATTAAGTTAAATAGCTTGAAGTTTTTATTTAATTAATTTTCTAAGAGACGATAATAGCATCTTTCTTATTTGAAAGAAAAATAGTTATAAAACTTCACACCGGTTTATTTTTATGTAATAGCTACGACCTACTTCAACGGTATTTCTTTTAACGTTGAGTTAACTACAGAAGAAAGGCACAGTTCTCTCTCTCTCTCTCTCACGAACGTCGCATTCATTCTCATTTTACTTTTCCTGTTCTGCCACCAGTTTCCACGAAGGCACTGGCTGGTGCGAAGAGCCTCGGTGGGTTCTTGTACAGCGCCGTGAACAAGGCCGGAAAGACCGTGGTGGAGGCCAGCGCGAAAATCAAGAAGACCGTCGAAGAGAACGTGAGTTTTTTTCCATTGTCACTATAATCCTGTAAACACGCCGATCGATCTGGCGTTAATGACCCTTGTTATCACTATCGTTCAGACGATTTTAATCGGATAATGAGACACAAACCCTCAAGATTTATTCGAGATAACAATTTAGTATCTATCACTTTTAATAGTAATACATTAATTACGAATAATTTACTATAAACTTTATTCAAAGATAATATAACGTAGATGCAACAATTAGCCTATTATTACTAACCTATTATTTATGTTAAACCTATATTCATTAATTGTAACAATTGTAAATTAATGTATTCGTCATATACCAACTTCTGTGAATTGATCGATAAGTGTTTTGCTGTAGTTTTTACTTCGAACTACTTCTTTTTTACATAACTGTAGAGCTATTTATGCGCTCGTTTCATACCGTTACGTGCACAAGCAAATTGATAACAGTTTTAATATTCTTGCTGCGTATTATTCAATGTTTTCGTGCATCGAAGCATGTGAAATTTTTACATCGTGCATTTGCCGCTCGTGCCATCATCCTACGTGAGTATGGATAAATTTAAAGTATAGCAAGGAATACTAGATAGAAAAGCAAACTTATTTTGCAAACGTTTTCCCGTGGATGTAAAAAAAAACCGTATTTGCGCAAATATTTTCTTTTTACTTTTCTGCCCTTTGGAAATTCGTGAACCCAGCAGATATTTTTTCTCCTTTTATCGACACTGCGCTTTGTCGCTGTCGATATCAGCTCGTAGGATTTATTCTTTCGTAATGGTACGGACTGATACATGTACAGATATGTATTCAATCTGTGAATACGATGTCCCATGAGAATTCAGTAAATACATAAATGACAGCATTTCCGCAGACGTGTTATATAATCGCCTTTGTATTTCGGAAATTAAAGCAACCTTCCCAAGTGCTTACAGTCAGCTGACTTTGTCTTGTGAACTGAAACTTGCAATATCGGGAATTTAATGTGTATATATATATATAAGTGAGTCAATAAGTAACTTCAATTTTGCCCTCAGAAATCAAGATATTAAGGTTACTTATTGACTCACCCAAGTATATATACGATAAATTCAACAAAGTTCAAGTTGACATCTTGGAATAATTCAGTAAAATTCTCGTAGAATTGACTCTGAAGGGAAAACAATGCGTGTAATACCTAATGAATATATCGCTACTTCTGTAATCGCTTTAAAAATCAACATGTCAAGTTCTTATTTATTGTGTCATCTATACTTAACGAACGGCTGTCGTCGACCGTGGAACTCGTATCGATCAGAAAACCTGCTGTCATTGCATTTGTGTATGCGTTTTGTATATATGTGTCAAGCAAGAAATGTCATTGATATTGACGAACTCTCATGTACGATGATTGAAAATGCGCGAATAGGCGAAATTTATTCCGCGTCCGTTCTTTTTCGAAATTGTGCAAGCCACTAACATGATCCGACGATGCGTCCAACGAAGAAACCACTTTCGCGTTTATATTCTCGTTACTAGCTCTCTATTGGGGAGTTTTTTTACTTATTCGCCTCTTGTATTTTTTTTCAGCCATTGGACGATACAAGTTTGCGATAGCCTAAAACGGCGTGCGAAATATAGGTTTTTAAAGCGCTATGCGATTCGCACCTCGATTTTCACACGATGGATTTATCTATCACGGTGTACATTGCTTCGGAAAAATCAATGGATTCGCGCTGTCAAATGGTTTCTCTTTATAATAGATTAATTCGCGCCTGACATTTATAATGACTTCTACACAGAGAGACTAACTGAATTAATAATAATTACAAATTAATAGTAATTGATTATAAAATAATAATAGTTTGTATAATTTGGTCGATATAGAATCTGTTATAATTATTGTACCTTAACAGTACCTATTTTGGAAATTAATGAAACTTCAAAAATTTTTTATATGATGAAAATAGTCGCAATAATTTCCAAATTATATGCGATTAAAGTAGATTGATCAATATCACATAGTTTACTATAATCATCTATAATAATTTACTTAAATCAAGTTTATTTTTTACTTTTCTATTATTTTTTGTTTTTAGTTCAGATGTAAAAGCCAATATATCTAAGTTGAAAGTTATCAAAGATGACAGATTGATATGTAGTGCAGATACAATTATGCGCATGAATAACTCTGTGCGATATCATTGGCCCACTTTGTTTATCTCGAAATTTATCGTGACCTCGACATTTCCGTAATTGCGAATTTTCAACTTCAATTAATCTTCAGAAAAAAATATATTCTACTCCTTAGTGGCCTCCGTCAAGTTAATGTTTTTTATATTTATACGTTTGATAAATAAATAGTTTTAATAAATAATACGACGATAAAAGGGACGAGAGATCGAATAGAGTCGCAGTTTCCTCGGCTTCCTGTACGTTTTCTAATGGCAGTGATTTACCATTGTTGTGACCACTTGCACGTTCTCTGGTACTCACATGCACGTGACGTGTAATTTCTCAAGAGATCGCGGTGCACCGCGCGTACGCAGCATCCACTTGTCCCGCGATGGTCTTTGATTACGGTTTGTACACCAGGGACATCCAATGTCGTTTGATCAGTTTGATGCTTGTCGATGCGTCGTTAACATAACGAAGCTGCAACAATTCACGTATATAAATGAAATGAAATAGACTTTTTAAAAAAGTACAAAATTTAAAGATAGGATCGTACATTATATAATAACGTTTATTATTTTTTTCAAGTCTTTTTTTCATTATTTTTAAATATAATGCATAATTATTTATCGAAATAAAGGAATTAATTTAATTGTAACGTTTGTAGTTATTGTGAATAGCAATACCATAATGGCGATTATATAGTACCGTCAATAGTTTTAACGATGTATCACATCAAGCTTACAATTTTGGCCCTTAAACTCTGGCTTTAATTTCAACTATATAAATTTAAATTATTCACAGGTATATGAAGAGAGTATAAATTTTCATGTATAATAAATTCACTCGACGCTGTTACCAGGTACCGTCGAGCATGTATCGTTGCAACCAACGTTACAGGTTGGATGTCCTATGAATAGGTACTATCACGTGACAAGCTTCGGCAAACAAAACGACACGAGAACTCATCGAATGTATTATACAAGCACCGCATCTGTGTTCGGAAATACGGAATTATTACAAGAACGCTGTAATGTATATCAAAATCGCACGCGTGTATGCTTTTTACGTTTGTGTGTCATTGATTACGATCGACAACATTGACAGGAAATTTCATTTTATATCATGAACGTCATTATCCTAAAATCGATTTATTTATAGAGATATTATTTGGCTGATTGTGAGTTATATTGAATTGATAGTTTATTTATGTAAAATTGTTTTGTTTATTTAAAATCAAGTTTGAAGTTACTTTACTAAAGTAAACTTAGTAATAATGCATCCATTCGCGTTTGCGTTCGTTTTATTTCAATTTCTAGAATTTCTCAATTTCAACGTCTAGAAATTTATCTTTTAGATTAAAAATGAACGATTCGCATATCTTGCAGATTTTCTCTGTAGATGTATAGTCCCAAGTCGATACTGTTATTAATATCTTCCGGAAAAGGCGGTGGTACTCGTCGACCCATTTTCTGTTACACGTTAAAGCGGGACGATTCTATTGCTCCCTTTATTTTCATGAATGCTCCGTTGCGTTTTATAAAATCGCGAATGCACTGAATTTGTTACTCTTTAGATTTACGAAGCTGACAATAACAGTGATGCTTCGAAACATGTGTCGTTGAAGACACGATCACGCCGACACGTGACAAGATTCTATGCGTTCGTTCATTATCTCATCGCGTGTTTCATTATTGAATTATGTAGACACCGAAGCGAGTGATGGTACAGGGTTACTGTTGTTATAACGATGTGTTGTAATTTTATCCCGTAGCTGAATACGAAGCAATTTATCCGTAACTTTATGTTATCAACTTAGTTTCAAATTGAACAGGTTTCAAGTCAAACAGGTTTATTTAATCAGCAATTTATATTACGTTCACGATTCATGTGTTCTGTATTTATTTCTTATTTTTCGATTTTGCTTTATTGTTATTGCATACTTTTGCAGAACAGAAATTTTTCACACACACACACACACACACACACACACACACAC